TTGTTGGAAAGCCCACTGACACCTTCTACCTTGTCATGCCATATGTGAAGCAGTAACTCTATTCTGCAAAGAGATGACATGTTCCTGAAAAGTCCTGACTTCTCCTTCTCAAGTGAAACTTTTCAAGATTTGGTCCTAGATATGCAGTTTTATGCTAATCATCCACCTGCCAATCTGCATTTTACTTACACAGGTCTGTTATTTCAATTGGATGGAGCAGGATTTGTGAGAATTGGCATTAAAAAAATTGATTAAAAAATGGAAAAAGCTGTATTATTAGGACTCCTTGACAAATGACAACTGCTGTTACAGCTCAGTTGGATGTTAAACATAAATGTTATTCAAAATATTTCCATTTTTAGGTGGTTGGTGTGGTTTTTGCTAAATTAGTGCTGAGAGATTTGTGTAGCACTGTCTGCATACCCAAAGCCTGCACAGTATTCAGCTGCCAGAGTAACTGAACTGTTCCTCCAGTTCACATTCCACAGATACAGTAGCTTTAAAAATAGAAAATCCGTATCTGACTTGAAAAAAATAAATTAAATGAGGTCTTGTTTCAAGGTTCAAAAATGACATATGTATATCCCTGAATGAGGACTATGTCCTTTCTTTTATTGTGGCAAATAATAATTTCTTAAATTTAAACATATTTTTATTCCCCCCCAGAGGTTTCTTCTTCCTCTATGAGTGCCTTTCTGGTTGGTTTTATATATATTTATAAACAGGTTTGGTTTGGTGTTCTTTAAGCTCACAAGGCTTCCTTTATTTTAAAGAAATTAACGCAACTGAAAATATTTGTCCTTGAAATTGAAAACTTGGCTTATTTTTCTTCTGCAAACACTCAGTAAATCCCAGCTTGTCTTGGCAGCTTACCATTTGTAGAGCTGGACATGATAAAGCAAAGACAGTCGTACACAGAAGGGTTTTCTCGGATCCTCTCCACCCAGACACTGGCCACCTCAGGCTGGGAGAGGCAAGTCAACAACAACCTAGGCAAGAATTCCCCATTTGACAAATCAGAAACCAGTTCACTCCTTTAAGCTGTACAAGTGTAAATCCAAAATAGCAGCAGTGGAAACAGAAACAGGAATATAACTCACAGCAAAGTGACTCCACAACAGTGCAGAAACAATAAAAGGAAAGGATGAGAGGATAATAAAATAGTGAGCCCACTTGTCACTTTTTTCCCCAGGCCTCAGAGCATAGCAGAACTACACTAATGATGCATTAATTTCTGAGATGTCCTACCTGCTTGTTTCCAGAAGAGTTGGGGAGTCTGAATCACACAAACGTTGCAGTAACACTTGGCTTTAAGGAGAAAATTCAGGGGGAAAAAGTTAATAAAATCCATCTTTATTTCTAAAAAAGGTATAAAAAAATTAATTTCATAACTGCAGCCATGTTCTGAGATTAATGCCAGCTTTTCCTAACTGTGCATGCACTTCCAGTGTGCCAAGACCACCAAACTTAGAAACTAACTTGACTGGTGATTAAAATCCCCAAAAATAGTGGTCTGTGTCCTTTCTTCCTTTCCTGAGCACTTTCCACACAAACATGGCCAGCCAAAAGTTACGAATGAAGATAAGGCTGGGCAGGCAAGTTTAGGTCCTTCTCCAACATGAACTTCCTGACTGTGAGTCCAGACAAGCAGTACCTGTTCATGTACAAAGCACACAGACACTTACCCAAGATTCTCATCTTTGCTAATGGACATGCAGATGTCCTGGAAACAGGCCATATTCCCTAATATTCCCACACAGATTTCCTGGAAAGCCAAAACACAGTATAATGAGACAACTGCAAGTCCACAATTTCACTTCCAGAGCCGTAAAACAAAAGTAAGAGAGGTTCAAAGATGTTTTCTAGTTTGACTTCCAAGCTTGTATGACCTGCTGATTTCATGACAAAGATACAGATTTTCCCACAGATTCCATACAGATTTTTCTGTTCTATCAGACTAGCCTAAAATACACTCAGGTACTATGCAGATATTTAGGTGCTCCACAAAAGCAAATGTATCTTGAAATAAGCTCTGCTTGCATATTCTTTGTATACTGTTTTGAAGCTAATTTGACAGCCTGTTGTTAAAGCAAAAAGGAGTCCTAAAACAAAAATATCACTACATAAATGTGATACTCATGGTATCACAAAAGAAAGGGATCTTAATACAAGCTTCCAGCAAAGCCCATTTTCTGATTAAAGAGATCTAAAATAAAATAAAAGGGAAAACAAACCCCAAAGCAGTGCACCCCATTAGGATATTCATGCCAAGGCAATCATTAAGAGGATGCACACTTGTGTAAAGGGGACCATGAGAGCCCTGAAACACCTGCAGGTGACTGGTGCTAAAACAAAGTGAGTCATTAGTTTGCAGCAATTTGAAATCAGAAATCAACTCTTTCTACTGATGTTGTCTTCTTAATTATGAACATGCTACAAGCTCTGCTAAATTACAGCAGGCACTCCAGCAAACTCTGTTTTATGACAGTAGCTGTGATAGCCAATTTGCACTCTCTTGCAAATTGGGGTTGTACTTTCCAAAGACAAAGTACTAAACATTCAAAGCTCTATTTGTCTCTACTGATCTCCTGGAGTAAAGCATCTGGTAGCTTCTGAGAAAGAGGATTTACATCAACACTGAATACCTTTGAAAATCCTATTTGGAGATTTGCAATGCACTGTGTAGCACAAGCTAGAAATCAGTGACATCAAAACAAGTGGAAAATTAAAAAGAAAAAAAATTAAAGTATTAGTGTCTTAACAATGCCAAAGAGTATTTTCTGTAATTTTTTTTTTTGTTTGTTTATTTCTCATTAATTTAGTACTGATCAAATCAGAACAAGATAATTTACCCAAGTGGAGTCTGTTTTGCCCATGACAAATCACAGCAACTGGTGAGTGATCTCTCCCTGCCCTTATCTTGACCCATGAGCCTTTTGTTGCATTTTCTCTCGCCTGTCCAGCTGAGGAGGGAAGTGACAGAGCAGCTTTGGTGGGCACCTGGCCTCCCAAAACACTTCTGCAGGTCAGACTAAAGAAATCATGACCATTTCTGTTCAGTAATCATGAAACAAGTCAAAAGGAAAAAAAGGCCAGACTGCTGGGCTTTATAACAGGTCTGTTGTAACTGTTTGATAAACTCAGTCCTTCATCAGTGTCTCTACATGAGCATCTGTGAGCAGACATGTACCAGCTTCAGCACCACCAAAAAAAAAACCTGATTACAGTATGTTAAAAACAGAGTGAAAAAGCATTTTAAAATTTGATTCTGTGTTTTCTCCTGGTTCCCCTTATACATTACACATGCAATGAGAGAAGGGAGATAAATGTAAATGCATGTACAGAGCTATCTGCTATTGCTACTAACACAGGAGGGCTTTTTGACAGCCTATACTTACAGTTAGGCGAGGGCATTTGGACTTGGCAAAAACTCCCATGAATATATCAGGGGCATTGAATTCTTGAAGAAATAAAGCAACATCCTGCGGAGAAAGCGAATGGAGAAGTGAATGGACCTCTGCAATTTCCAAATGCAAAATCAAACATGCTCCCACAGCACAAGGACTGGATCAAAGAGATGGCAAACTCACTACAAGGAATTTGTTATTTGCCAACAGTTAATACCAATAATCCTTGCTCTCCAATGAGAGATGGCCAGCAAGCCAACAAGGTAGGGAATAAAATAATAATATTTAAATTAATACTTAATTATTAAATAATACTACTTTAATAATAATTATATAGATAGATATAAAGAATTTGTTCCAGCATTTGAGACTGCTGAGAAATATACTAAGTGTTAAATTGACACTGCAAGTCTGCAGCTAAACTTAGAAAGGCTGTTTAACTATCAGAAAAAACTATTCTTACCATCAGGACGGATGACAATTGCTAGAGGAAAATGTGCCTGTTCAGAGATGGCATCAATACTATCCCCATAATCCAAGTGAGGAAGGCACAGGCCGTGCACCCGAGCTCATTCCAGCTGCTGTCCTGCCGCCGCTCCTCTGCCCAGGGCAGGTTCCGCGGTGAGGCTGCTCGGAGCCGCCCCAGCCCGGCTGTCCTGCCTCACCCTGCCCGCCGCAGCCCCAGAGCGAGCTGGCCGATTCCCCGCCTTCTCCCACTGCCAGCACCATTCCGACGGGACACTGGGGGCAGAGGCGCCCCGAGGTGCCGCGCAAGGCTCCTACCTCGTCCATCGACATGTCCCACACCTTGCAAATGTCGTTCTCCATCTCCTCGTCCAGCTCCGTGCGCGCTCCCTCGGGGCTGGCGGCGGGGTCCGGCTCCGCGGGGGCGATCACCTGGGCCGGGCGGGGCGGGGAGAGCGACCCGGCTGAACCCCCCCGGCACCACCGGCACCCGCTGCGTCCCCGCCCGGTGTTTTCCCGCTGTGTCCCCCGGATCTGTGCCCTGTGAATCCCAGCTGTGTCCCGGGTTTGTCCCCGGCTGTCCCCCCCGGCCCTGGCAGCGATCGCGTCGCACCCACCCGGCGCTGACCGACGCCGGGCCCGCCGCCCGCTCCCTCCCGGCGGCCGCGCACCTCGATAAGGCGGGTGAGGACGCTGAAGAGCCAGTGCTTGCTGTACACCGTGTTGCCCACCGCGTCCCCCTCCTCCTCCTCCGCATCGCTGCACGGCGGCGACGGATTGCGGTCCATGGTGGCCCCTCAGCCGTGCGGGGGCAGCGAGGCGGCGGCGCGGCCGGAGCGGCGCCCGCGGCCCCACAGCGCCCCCTGCCCCCCGGCGGCCATTGCCGCCTCCCGCGCCCGGGCCTGCGCCGGGCCCGCGCCGGGCCCGTGCCGGGATCGTGCCGGGATCGCGCTGGGATCGCACCGGGACCGTGACTGGATAGTGCCGAGACCCGCCCGCCCAGGGCCTTCCCTCGGCGAGGAGCGGCAGCCGCGCTCCCGGAGCGCCTTTGGCAGCCCCCGCCATGCCCCGACACCGCCGCCCCCGCCCCGCAGTGCCGCGCCCCGGGAGGATGGATGCAACGAAGGGAAGAGTTCTCAGGAGGATTCCTTTATTGGCTGTGCAAAGGGAGGTGTGACAGGAGCGCAGGACAGCGCTAGTACTTGCTGGGCAGCCCCCTGGGCCGGTAGCGGTTCGGGTCGCCGCCGCTCCGGCCCCAGGCGTTCGCCTCCTGGTCCAGCCGCGTGTCCTCGGCGCCTCTGCCGCTCACGCTGCTCTGCCAGCCCTCCCGGGCGTCGCTGTGGGGAAGGAGAAAAGGCCGCCTGAGCAGAGCGCATCTAACTCAGCCGTGTGTTGGCTCCCTCGCTCGTGTGGAACTGCTTTTCCGTGGGGCCTCTCAAGGTGAGGTGCAAGCACATGCTCGGCCTTTGTGTGAGAGCCCGCGGTGGAATCTATATCTGTTATGTCGGGAGGTGAACCAGCAATGAAGGAGAATTCCTTATCAGAAATGCAGAGAGGAATCTGCCTTCTGGGCGGACAAGAAGAAAGGTTCAGGCTCATGTGGCACCATTCCTGTGGAGACCGGCTATCCAGATGGGAACTACCTTCCCTCCCCTCTGCTGTCCCTCTAGGTACTAAGCTGAGTACAAGTCAAAAAGGACATGACTCCAGCTGGAATGCCTGGATCCCTAATAACGCACTGTTAACAAGCCAAGCACACTTCATTACCTGATCACTCTCGCTGCCCAAGCACCACCAGGTCCTCTCCGTGCAGCATCATAATTCCCACGGGCATGGAAATACTTGTCGGCACCTTTGTAATTTGCCTCCCGCATGTCCCTGTATGCTCTGAGCATATCCCATGTCCCTGAAGAAGACAGAGAAATGGAGATGATGTTGACTTGAAAGAGTCACACCAGAAATAGTTCAGTACCACCCCATTCAGGAGCTGGAAGGCTCAAGGAGCAGTAACAGAGTGAGGCACTGCCCCACATCAGCCTTTGCACAGGGCTGTGCCCACAGAATGCACCTGTGAAGGCTGATCAAGGCCCTCACCCAGCAGCAGAAACCAGGGCATCTCTAACGTGGAGCTGAGCATTTCCCAGCGCTGAGGGCTGCACCATTGGCTGCTGGCTTGTGCCTGGGGAGGGGGTCCTGAGAGAAGGGCCCCTGGTAAGAGCAGCTTACCTCCTGCTGCATCCCGGGCAAATTGTCCAGCCCGGACCATTCCTTGGACTATCCTTGGTCTGTCAGCACTCACACACAGAACAACGGAGAGCAACGCGATGCAGACCCAGAGCCTCATGGTTCCTGGCCGAGCCTGACAGGGAGCTGGGAGAAGTGAGACAGATGAGCAGCTCTGGAGCACCACTGAGAACCCACCACACCCCCAGCTGCGCCTGAGCTGCTGCCTCAGTGCTGAGGCTCGCCCAGGATCCCCTTCTCCCCCTGCCAGGAGTGGTGCCCTCTGTGCACCACAAGCTCCGCAACAAAAGCAGGTGCACATGAGAAACCAGCACTCCCTGCTGCTCCTGTCATGAGTGCAAAGAAGCCCCACATGCTGAAGCATTAGTCCTGCTCCCAAAATACCAGCTCAAAACACTGCACACAGCTCACAAATTCAGAATGTCACTCACCACTGCAGAACAGCAAAGTCAAAGGAGCTGGAGATCGACTCGTGTGCTCTCAGACTCAAAGAGGGTATTTATAAGCAATTCAAACCCCTCAAAAGAGGAAACTGGAAAGGATACCCATGGCTGGGAAATCCCCACTAGCATTTCCAACACAGAAATCATTACTGGAAACCTGTCCGTGTCCTTACTGAAAGTCCACAGCTCCTGTTATGCAATCTTTTAGAGAGTATATGGCACTTCTTCAGCTGTCCTTGGGACTCTTTGCTCCTCATAACAACCAAGCTGACAAACTGCCTTAAAGGCTGAAGAGTTCCATGTGCTTGAAGTGTTACTGCTGTCTTAAGGGTGATACTTTTGTTTGGATCCTGGACTGAACAGAGCTCAGAGGGGAAGGTGCCTGACTGCACATTGGAGCACAAGGCCAGGTCTGTGTCTGTGCACAAGGAACAGTGAGCTGCATTGCCAGAAGGGCTGCAGGAACTGCTAAGTGAAATTCCCATGTGTGCTGGGATTGCCAGATGAATTCCAGAGTTAATGAAATGGAAAATATGAAGTGTTGCTCTTAACTCCATTGCAAAGCAAAGCACATATACCTACATCCCTGCTGATCATGCTGTAAGATAGCACAGACACACAGACCATCAAGAGGCTCTGAATGGTTCATTTTGCCTTGGCTTGCTCTCACAGGCCCCTCTCGAGGGTCTCCAGCCACCCTGCTGTAACAGCAGCTCCATGGGCCTCAGGTGGAAAGTTTTGGACACAGCAGTAAACATTTTACTTAAGGGGAAATTCAGATCCATACAGCCACAGTTCTGCTAGATTTTAAATCACCTGTCTGGCCCTATTGGCATGGTTCACTGTTTAAATGCTCTCCCTGCTTAAAGCTTGCTCACTTCCCTTGGTTAACAACTTGACACAACCCTTTCCTCTGCAGAAAACTCCAGGGTTGAGTGCAGTTGCACTCGAGAGTGACTGTGCAGGGTGTCACCATTGTGTGGCCTTGTACATGATTTGGCAAGTCTAGGAGAGCACTTCAGGTTCCCCTCTGAAGAGTTAAGGGTAGCTGCCCCACTCACAACTCTGCGACTGTAAACAATTTGCTCCTGGAGCTGCAGGGCAGAGGCATGAGTTGAAAGAGGTGCAAAAAAAAGCCAATAAAGTGTCAACAGGAACTTGGGTGTCACTGGACTTCAGTAAAAAAAAATGAGCTTAAGAGGGAAGGAGACTTTTTCCACAACCTGGAGCAGCAGGGCAGATACTCTGTAGTGTGATGTATCTCAGAATGGAACAATTTGCAACAAGATCTAAACCCTAGGACATAGATTTTTGTCCCCTGGCACTCCTGAACCAGATACTTCACAGTGTAACAGCTCAGCTACTGCAGGGACTGGAGTGCTGTGCTTTGCTACAGCCCTGTTCACACCCTGATGACCCATATCCTTGCAGTACACGCAGCTCAATGTCTTCTCTGCTGGCTCCAAGTAGCCCTGTCACCTTTTTGGTTTTTAAAACACAAGGAAAATTACTCCTGTAAGTTGTGGTACAGGCATGTGGCACTTTGCCCAGGGACTTAAAGCAAAGCATTGCTTTCAAAACTGACCTAAGGAACACTTTCCCTACAAGAGCTCACACACTCTGGACCATAGAGGATATTTTGAGTCGTACACTGTTTCACATTCTCTCCAAACCAACATTTCTGCAAAACATGAAGGACAATGAGGACAAAAAATGCATTTCTGCAAACACGAGGAGAATTGCAAGAAGGCAGGTGCTGGAGGGATTCTTTAGAACATCTCAGAGTTCATCCCCTGGTGTCCAGCAAGGACAGTAGCAATGACAACAAAGCTGGAGCTGAGATAAAGCTGCAGCCTGGGGCTCCAGCAGGGAACAGCCTGAGCCCTGCTTTGCCCTATTCTCTTGTCCTGCACTCCAGGTCATGACCCTTGGCTCTCAGGAATGAGCTGCAGCCAACACTGCTGCTTTTGCAATAAAGAGGCAAAGCTGCCTCCAAGTGTGGAGGAGGGTTTAACAGAGCATTTCTTCCGGGACTAGCAAGACACTGGCAGCACGTGCACGCTGGGGAACACAACACAGTGAGGGGGCCTGGAGACCATTTATTGGTTTGTACATTCTGATGCAGTTAAGATAAAAAGCAACCCCATGCTGGTTGCCCTGTAACTGTAAATATTTATGAATGCAAACTATGTTCCACAATTTTGCAATCTGAGAAAATCAGACTGAGAAAGGGGATGAGGTGAATTCCCAGCTCAGGCACAATATCTGCAGTTATTTCTTAATCTGGGAAAGAACAGTACCTTTTTTTTTTTTGTTTACGTTTGCAATAATTCATTTCAAGAGTTTTGCCAAGTATTGAATATTACACTACCAGTGACCTTGGGCTTATAGACGTGGCGAATGACTGGAAACTTGTCTGCTTTCAAGAAGCAGATTGAAAATGCAGGTATTTACCTGAATTAAAATTGATTTACCCATAGGTTTCTAATTGTGAAATAATGTATACTTTTTTCTTTGGTAAAAAGAAAATAGCACCAGGAGTTTCTATTTAAAGGTGCTCCAGGCTAAGCCCCCTTTATTCATCTCTGCTTCTCAAGGGTCTCTTCCACCCAGTCACCCACAAAAACCAAATCTGAGCTGCAGCTCATCTTCCCCATGAGGCTGGCTGAGCTGTCAGTGATGTGTGCTCAGCTGGCTGACAGGAGCCTTGCTCTGTGCAACTGAGGCAGTTTGTTTCAGTAATTTCTAAAATGAGAGGGTCTTCTGTTCAGTCCCTTCACCCTACCCACAGGAGATAAAAACAAACTCATCCAGAACAGGAAACATTAATTTTCCAGCTCTTATTCAGAGAGTATATTCTCACTCTTTATTGACAGCCAAGTTAGTTGAAATGATAAACACAAGCCACTTTAGACACAAAATCGGAACACACTCTTCCCATTATGTTATCTGTATGACCCTTCCGACATGATTTTTTTCTAAAAAAAAAGCTCTAACCAGAATTGATTTACTGTAAAAAAAAGAAAAAAGGTCCCAACCCTCAAAGTCAACCAAGTGTACAAAACCCCCACAGAAGTTAAGAAAGAGCTTTTGTGTACACAAAATACACCAAGCAAATAGAGTGGAACCATACAGAGGTAAGCCAGGCACATTCTCAGAAATCCAGGAATTCCTCTGAGGAAGGCAAGGGGAGCACTCAGCTACACCAGACTCTGCATGAGCCCGAGGTAGGTAACTGGGGGAGCCCCGAGGCAGCAGCAGCTCATCTGGCAGGGAACAGACCAGGCACCAACACCATCTGGGAGATGCCTGGCTCCCATTCCAAGCCTTACTGTGAGAGCATGGGGTGTTCCTGATGGCACAGATCCTTCTATTTCCAATGGCAGTATGTAAATCCCAGAAGCTTTGAAGTCTTCTTTTTTAGAAATAGTTCTGTATTGGCTTTTCCACAAGCAACACTCTGGCTGGAAGCCTGACATTCGTTGTTGCCCTGGAATTTCCCTTCCCCGTGTGAAGTAACCAACCCACCACACCCAAGTTTTTCTTGCAGACAAGATGAAATAGTCTGCATACTGCATCTCTCGAAAGGCCAAACATTGTACTCAGTCCTAGTTTGATTAAAAGCATTATTTTTCAGCATTACAAGTGCTGCAAGTCAACATAAAAAGATACCTTATAAAGCAGTATTTTCACATCATTTTACAACAAAAATATTAAATTTCAATTAAATTTCGTTCCAATTAATGCATTACTTTTTATTTAAATATTTGTGAAAATTGAATACGGACCAGATGCTGTGGCTTTCTGCTTAAAATGTGAGTCAGAAAATGAAGGGGATCAAAACTAGAAGCCTAAAAAAGTATAGACTTAGATACTTCCCAGGAATGGTTTCTCATGTTTGCAAACAAAGAAACAAAAATTTTATACACCATAATTTAATACTTAGGGGTTCATATCTCTGAACACTTAAGTTATAGACTCAGAAAATAAATTCAGCAATTTTCATCTTGGAAATCTATGAGCTTAATTTCAAGATAAATACTGGCTTGTTTTGATCTATATTCTACAGTTCAAAAGTCTTCTCCAAAGGAATAAGGAAGAACTGTCACCACTTCCAGGTCAGATACCTGCCAGATGGAGACTGGCTCAGTATAACTGAACTTTTAGACAGGAGTTTGTTATTTTTAAGGGCCTGTGAAATCTAAGAGGCACTTGAATATACAGTCATTACAGTATAAAATGTTCCCAGAGTTCTCCCAAGCTGCTTTCTATGCTTGCTGAGACCACAAAAACCGGTCACACCTTTCCAACATGGACTGAATCAGCGCTCTGCAAATAAAGCAAAGGGGACAAAAAAAAGTCAAACACTAAAAAAGCTAACAACAGAAAGAACAACAGAGCTTTGGTTTGCTTTTTAAAGAGAAGTTTGTAAAAAACATGATTGCATTTCAGAAATAACATCTTGACATCACCATTCCCACCTCTGAAAGGAAAAGGAGAGATCAGAGTCTGTATAGGTCTTACCAGGACAGATCTCTTTCAGAGAATCTCCTTCACACACACCTTTAATGTATGGTTTCCTGTTTCCTCATTTTCAATTTTAAAATGCCTATATTGCAAAATACACAGTTCTTAAATAATAATAAGAAAACTTTCAGATGAGTCTAAAACCAAAGGTAAAAATGTGAAGCATTGTATCTTCTTGTAAACCAAAAAGCAAGTTTAAAGTATGGAAGAGATCCAAAAAGAATAGTGTGGATCTTCTGCTGACATCTCTTACCTCTGCCTTTTCTCAGCGATCCTCAGTATCTCACAGACACCAGTAAACCTCTCAGACAATTCTAGTGTCAAGCCACACTCCTGCAAGAGAGGCAAGGCACGATTTGGGCCAATGGCCTTGGCCAGCAACAGAGCAATGTTTTCCACAGTGATGCAGTCTGGGCAGCTGGGGCCTCCATTGCTGACAGCATTCCCATTCTGTGGGCTGTGCTGGTGGGAAGCTGTGCGGTGATTCTGTGCAAGATGCAGAACAAACTTCCATTCTTCTATAGTCTCTGGAATGGAACCTAGATGTAAAATGAGTTTGTTAACGTTATTTGGAAAATGAGGCTTATTCTAAGACTACTATTTAAACTATATCTGTACTTAAAAGAGAAGCTAGCTATTCTGTTTTACTCTCAAGATTTTAGGAATCTAAGCATTATCCAAGCATTATCAACAAGAAAATTAGGCGCAGAAATGTACTGCCCAGATGGACTCAGTGTAAAGATTTAGTGGTGAACACACACAGCTTCACAGTAGTTCAGTATTCAAGGCTTTGGATTAAGTCAAGAGACAAAGTTGTGTTCACCTTAGGGCCAGAGTGAATTTTCTTATAAGTTCTGGCTTATGGTACCATTCTTTGCTCACTCTAACCTTTGGTTGTCTGCACATGTAGTGAGGGGGTTTTATGCTGTGCAGGAAGGCTTCCTACTCTTCTGTCTACAAACCAAGGTTAACTTTTACTCCCAGCTTTTACTGATAAACAAATCAAGATTCTTTAACTTTTAAGCATTTTCTAGCACAACTGATTTCACAAAGCACAGCATGAAGACACAAGAGTATAACACCCATTTATGTGTTTCAAATATGCTGTACTACACACGGTTAGGGCAACAAAAACACTTCAAAACATCAAAGTTCAATTCAGTTTTGGGCAAACTGCTATATAAGGGCAGTTCTACATTACAGAAGTATGTTTATACAGCTTAAGAATCACTAACCATCTTCTCCATTCAACAGGCTCAAATCATCCAAATGAACAATATTAGTAAAGGCTTCTATTCTTCTATCCAGCTCCAGACAGAGAAAAAGATATCCAGGCCAAAATCTTGAATAAGAGAGTAAAGATTTCTATGAATCAAATACTCAGTTCAAACCAAAGTCAAGAACAATCACATGCTCATTAAAGTATCAGTAAAGACAAAAGCAACTAAATTTAATGAATGCCAGAAACAGAGTAGGGACATGAGGTATACCTCCCGTTTGGTACATTAAATTGGACATTGAATATTCACCCTCAAAAAAAGGAAAGGTTTTTCTTTTTAAAAGAAAACTGTCCAAACAAAAAGCAGATAGGTCACTTACATTTGTATCTTCTCAGAAGAATACTTGCTAACCAGGTATCTAGAATTGCCAAGCTTTCTCCTTACCCATGTGATTTACAGATGTCAGCCATCTTCTCTTTCATAACAAAATCAGCTGGGAGTTTAATCAAGAGCAGAATGAGCTGGCTGTAGCCCCAGGTAAACAAATGTGATCGTGGCCTAGAAGATGAGAAACTCAGTTTTAAAGCATTATTGATTTTCTTCAGAACATTATGGCAGATTTATGAAAAGAGAGGAGGAGAAATGAATGAAACACCACGTGCAGTCTCAGTAGAGCAGTCACTCTAGAAGGCATTGCAAATAAAAGTTATTCAATCCTTTGGTTGTTTCTGCTGAACTTTGCAAAATGCTCCAAGGAGTCAGTGATCCAAACTTTCACACAAAATCTAACCCAAAACCAGACCTGTTAAGTCTTTCTGCTGCATTCAGGACCCTGAATGAAAACCACTTTACCTGGGATTTCCTTCCTCATCCACAGTGTTTGCCCTTTGTGGAGCATCATGAGAAACTGCCAAGCACAACCACTCCAACCGCACAGATTCCGGCTGCAGAAGAGACCTAAGGAGAAATGGCCTGGAAAACAAAGCAGACACTAAAAAAAAAAATCCTACCAGTTTTAAATATAGCATAAATGGAGAAGCAGAGCTTGTGTGTGGACAAATTAACAAAACAAAACAAACAAACAAAAAAAAAAAAACAACAAAAAAAAACAAAAAAAAAAACACAAAAAAAGGAGGGGGGTAAAATTAAATGTGGAAAAGCCCAAAATTATTTAGGTTTCTATGTGTCTATAAACTGAGGCAACCACAGAAAATCAAGTGTGCAGGTTGCGATCCCACAGATTTGGTTGGGGTTTTCTTTTTGATTTTGGTCTTTTTTTTTTTTTTTTTTTGCTTGGAGTTTTTTTAAATGCCCTCTAGCCCTGGTACACTGAACTGCAGACATAGGAACAAAAAAAATCAATTCTATTAAAAGTATTATTTAGGAAATCCCTTTTAAAACTAGATACAAACCTAACAAAAACTCCAGTCTAGGACCAGCTACAACTGGCAGAAGAATTACTTGAAACCTAATGCTTAAGAAAACCAAGCAGACAGATACAGAAACACAAAAATATGTCCCCAAAAGCCAAAACAAAAAGAATCTCCACACAGCTACACAATTAAGAGAGCAGACAGATTAAAACATTCCCCTCACCTTTTATCCTCTGGCTTTGATTTCACCAGACTATCTAAATATGCTAAAAAGTGAGCTGGATCATTCCTGCAAAGCTGTTTAATATCATAAGGCAAAATAGAGGGGTGGAACTTGATCAACGGCCGAAGAGCTGTTTCCCCAAATTTTTCATAAAGCCTAGAGAAACAGAGAATAAAAACTATTTTAAGTACCAAACAGCAAAATATTATTTTCAAGATGTTCTGCAAGTTCAAGATAGTACTGAAAGGTGATAGAGTCCAGGAATCTTTATGACATGGCAAGTGAAGCAATTCCTGCCAGGAAGTTCAGAAGATTGGGAGTACAAACCTTTGAGCATGTGCCAGCAACAGTGGGCTGTCATCCCATGGCCCCAGGTCATGCAGCAGCTTCAGTATTTTCAACATATCTTCACTTTCCATTGCTAAAGCCACTGGACTGTGACAAGTTATTTCTGAAATAAATCAGTGCACAGGTTAGGAGATTTGGGCAAGTTTTTTCCTTAAGGTGTCCTGCCCCTCCTTTCGTCCTTCTGCTGAACAACAGCTATCACTGCTTTCATAGGAAGTTCAACACCCACCTCAATCCTGATGAAATGCAGGTATTAATCTCCAGGAACAAGTGCAGTGCAACTAAGGACAAACTGGGAATGCATACACTACTTCCCTTCTAGGGCTCTCAGAATCCAAACAGTTAAGAGATTCCCAGAAACACAAACACCAACCCTCAAAGCAAGATTCTGTTGTTTAACTGCTCTCTGCTGGAGCAGCATCAATGCTAAGGCTTTAATTCACTCTTAAAAGAAATACATAAGGCAGAAGCTGAGTGCAGAGAACAGAAAGTTGTTTTTCAATATCACTGAAGCTTTGGTTCAATAAAACTGAAGAGGCATCAAAAAGATCAGAAATTATTTCTGTGGAACAGGCAAGTATGAAGTGATCACAAGCCACTCATCTACACAGAACCATCTACTCCATTCAGTTTTGTTCCATATTAACCACATTCCTTTACAGGCCAAATGTTCCAGTGCAAATGCTGAAGCCCTTCCTCTCCCTTCTGCCTTGTTTCTACAGACTTGTGATTCTAATTATGATACTTTTGCTCTTAGAAGCTCTTATGTTTGCAAATAGGCTGGGATCACTACAGTGTTCCATTAACAAGGTCTATGCAACTAATAGGTTCAAAGTTGCAACTGGGAGGAGAACAATCTCTCTCCAAGGAGCCAACAATTCTTTTTTTTTAAAGAAATCACATGTTATTTTGAGTTGAAAGGGACCCACAATGATCATGAAGTCCAGCTCTTAAGTGAATGGCCCATACAGCGCTTGAACCCACAATGCTGGGATTATTAGCACTATGTGCTAACCAGCTGAGCCAAGTTCTTCCTAAGGGAAGTAAGTATTTGGGGAAAAAACAATCAACCAAACAACCCAAAACCAACACAAAAACTCCCACACACCAAGCACTGCCACACTACACTGGCAGAAGGAAAATCTGAAAATCCACAGACACAATTATGAGAGTTTTCAAGGTTTTTCTTTTTATCCTCCCCAACAGTCTTATTTTCAGTTTAAGAAGTAATACAACGTTCATAATTTACCTTTCAATCCTGCAATGTATGTTTCCCATACATTAGGGCTGGTGGCACACGTGGTTATAATACACTGCTTTACTCTCTTTAAATCCAAAAGGAAGAAGTAGCTTCGCATAAACCTACAAGCCAAGGTGCCTGAAGCTGCTGGTGGCAGACTCCCCTCAGAGCTCTCCTCAGCCTCAGCACTCCCACCAGAAAAGACATGCAGCTCAAAGCACAGAGTTGTCAGCTCCACAAGATCCTTCAGAACATCAGGTTCGATGGTACATGGAGGAGACACCTGAAAGCCACAGCCCAGAGGCCCAGTCACATCAGTACCATTTTCACACATGGATTTGCCTGTACAGGTTTCATCAGTATTTTCCTTTTCAATGCAGTCTTCCAAAATACCACTCTGTTCCTTGTCTACTGGGTCTCTGTCAGCTGGAGGCACTTGCAGGTTTTCCTCCAGGACTGCCCTCTGTTCTTCAGCACACAGAGTCTTGCTTTTCTTAGCAGACAAAGCAGAATGCTCCTGGCTGAATTTTTCTTCTAGATAGACAAGCCATTCCTGTAAGACCCTTCTCATACACTGAGGTTCTAACAAAACCAAGGGATCCTGGAGCTTGGCTCTGCAGCATAAAAAAGAAGTTTGCTAAGTTTAACAATTATAAGATGCCACAAATGAAGTTTCTAATATGCTTTGTGTAACTGTACTCCTACACTTGACTTGGAGTCAGTAGTTGGGTTTTTTGTGATTTTGAATGCATCAAACAGAATTTAGGCTACTTCACACTGTCTACATTTATCTCTGCACATCTTGAGCTCCCTAGGATTTCTTTCAGAATAAATTTTTATTTGTGATTTTAATTTTTTTAAACTATGCCTGTACTTAAGACAAAGGAATAACACTAGAGGAGCTTTTAGTGAGCTTTGCTTGGTTTTAAAATGAGGTATCAAATCATTCACCAAATGAGATCCTTTCAGGTTATGTTAATAGACATTTAGAGCATCACTCTTACATGCATGTAAAATGAATGAAAAGAAAATTTTAAAAACCCAGTAATTTTTTTTTCTGTCAATTTTTTTTTTTTTGTCACATCTATACAGTAAAAAGTTTCTCTGCTTACATAGTTTCTGCTGTTGCAGCCTTGAGATCTCTCAGACGGTCCTCCTCAGGAAGGTGGCAGTTCTGGGGTTCTGACCTAGAAAAGCACATTCATTTCAGTCTTATCTGAAGTATTAATTTCAATAATTTAAGTGAGGATTTCCTGAAAAATTTCCCCAACATTAATTCCTTTATTAAATACAAAACTATCACTTGTAAGAAGAAACAGCTCAACAGAAATTATGGATGAACTGGGCATGAAGAGCAATAGATAATACTCTTTTTGTGGCTTTCTATTATTGCTTCTACTCCAGTTACAGTAGATTCCTGCAGGTACTGAAAAAAACCAGTACCATGCCACTGTATGAAAGTCAGTCCAAAGTGGTACATAAGCACTGGAATATGAAATTAGCTGTGTGTTCATTGCCTCATCAGCTCTAAGAAAGGACTTGGGAGAACCACTGAAACCCACCATAGCAATGAATGCAGCTGGAAAAACATAATGCCAAGTTTCTCATTCTGCTTGAAAGAGTTTCTTCCTTAGGTTGCTATCCTCAGGACATCCAGCAAATATAACTGTTCAGAAAATGTGATTTTTCACTCACTCTTTTTCTTCCTGGGGAGATGCTACTGGATTAAGAGTTAGCTCTGGCAGCTGCTCATCATCCTTTGCTTCATGCTTCCCTCTAGACTCAGGACTTATATGAAGTGTGCCAATCTTTTCCGTGGTTTTGCGTACAAAGCTGGAAACACTAAGAATCACAAGTTCAAACATTTAAAATCAGAAGTTCAGAAGAAAACAAACCAAGCACTCTCTTGATTAAAACCATCATTTCAGAGACTTTGTAATCTGAAGAACTCTTGAGAAAAGGATGAGAGCAGTGATGACCAACAGGAACAAAACTTACTAAAAAGCTGCTCAAAATTCATACTCCAGCCATGATCATGTCTTCATCACAGAATAGAAACCTGAAGTATTTAACACTCCTGCTGGAGAAGCAGGATCACATACCAACATTAGGCATAGATTTTTGACATGCATTTGTGATTTGCATGCAAATAAATGCAGATTGGCTACACTGCATTTTAAAGCTTTTAAACATAAAGCATTTTTAGGAAATTATGTCACTCTTGGTGGTAAGAAACCACTTGACAATGCTTCAAATTAATTCTTCAAATTACAAAGCTCGCCAACAATGCCCTCTTCACTCAGCAGTCCCTATTCCTTCAGGTATTTTATTGAAGAGAAAGCTCAATAAACACACCAGAACTCAATTATTTCTACCACTGCCATGAAGAGAACTATGTCAATAAGATTTGGACAGAAAAATAAGCCTCCTGCTTTCTGCTCTAGAACTAAATAAACCCCCAAAACTCCAACCCAGCATTTTTCACTATAACAAGGTATAGCAAAGGTTGAAGCTTGCTGCAGAAGGCAGAAAGTATTCAAATCTAGCAAAACAATTGGATTTGAATGTATAGAAAGATTAAAGCTAAATTTTAAAAAATTAACTGTAAATAGGATAGTATTTTATTTAATGATTAATTGCATGCAGTGAATACTTGAAAACGCAGCTTTCATTATTAGCAGAAACACTTATTACTAGTAAGGTCCTCAAAGCTGCTTACAGTTTAGAAAGAACTCAAAACACTGCATGTACATCTGATGTCTATTCTGAGATCCTCACACCGCTGATAGCAGCCACAGTTCTTTGTTGCAGGACAAGAATTACATACTGAAGTGATCAAGGGAAGGCTGTGCAATTTTTCAGACCATTGCCAGGCCAGAGACATTTTAGCTAAGTAATTAATATACAGCACTTTCATAAAATTAAGTTATATATTTAACACCATCACCATTGTATTTGTACACCCACCCCCTTATCCTCCTTTTTTTTTAAGAGTTTTAAAATACCAATTTATACATATGTTATTTGTACATAAAATGGATATTGATCTAATTGCAGCAGGTAAAAGCTACCATTATTTCATAAGTGTTTGGGAAACCAATTAGATTCATTGAAAAGTTCATGTGGGGCTAGGACAGACCACTTTACAAGTGTGTTTTAGCAATATCTATCTGCTTTGAATGTTTTAATGTTTGTCCCTGTGCAACATAAGAAGCCTTCCCCCTAAGATACAGGAAGGCAAAATCCCAAAACAATATTCAGTAAGTTTTCCTTTAATACAAACCACAACCAGAGTTTACAGGGTAACAGTAAACATTCCTAGACATTTAATAATTATTCAGTGTTTAAATCTGAGGCTGAAGTCTTGGCTCCACTGAAGCTAAAGCAGCTCTTTGTATGTATCTTCAGGAGAGCCAAGATGAAGACTTAAACTGCCTGGCAAACCTGACTGCATCTCTGGTGCTCCAGTTCAGGTGTTACATGTCTGCAGAACAGAGTATGAACTAAACCACACAATGCTACAAATCCAGGGGACAGAAGAGGGCAAGATGTAATGGATGAGTGAACCTGCTGCATGTTTTACCTTTCTTTGACAGCTTGGAGAGAGACGAGAGGAGATGGGGAACGGAATGACAAAGGGATACTGAATGGGAGAAATGTCTCATTCCGGTCAGCCTCAACCACCACAGATGCATGAGATACGTTCTCTGACAAATGGAATTGAAATAAAAAGTCATGAAACAGTGACCCGGCAAAAAAATGGAACAGTGAAATGAACTGCAAGTCACTAATTCATTAATGAATAACTTGCTCACCATACTTTCCTTTTTAATACTCAAGAATTCATGGAGCCTGGTTTCAAGGGCTGATTTACTACTGACTTTGAACCTAGTTAAGTCTGCTTTATTAATAGTGTTTTAGCTTTACAGCAAGAAAAATAATCATCAGCAACAGTATGAAAACTATCTTCTAAAATTAGACTTACAGATCATTGAGAGGACAAAACCTTGATTTAATCCACTGAGTTATTTATACATCCAGGAAAATTAAGTATTGTGGCATATATCAATCCACAGCCAATTGTAAAGTCAGCCATGACCATGATTTCCAAAATCTAAATCACATGTGAACACAAAGACACATAAGCCATGATTAAGGTCACCCCCTTAATCTGAAAGGAATTAAAAATATAAGTGAGCCCACAGCTCTCTGGCTTTTGGTAAAAATCAGAGGAAATAGAGACTCACTGACTACTTCCTTTTCTCCCCCATATCCCTAACAGTATTTACAATGTGTTTTGCTTAATAATTTCCTGTTACAAGCACACACTGTATCTTTAAGTGATGTCAACAAGAAAAAAGGGAACATTTTAAGCCAGGATTATACTACTGACTGTTACAAAGTGCAGTAACCACAGCGCTGAGAGGAAAAGATGCTGCCCTGTTACAGAAAATCTACCATCAGAATCCCTCAACAGTGCCTAAAGGTCACAACTGACTTTACAATTGGCTGTAAATAAGGCTGCTTTTGTTCATTATGCAGACTAGAAACCTAAAACTCTTTATATCTTATGTCATTGTGAGCAGGGGAACACTAAGTCCATTTCTTCCAAATACCAAATCAAATACTTGGGCTTCAAGAAGCATCTAAAACTTCTCTACTTCACAATAATCAGCAAATCATCCTTTGTGGAACACACAGAACCTTTCTATCTTGTGACATTCAAAAATTAAGTCACTTGAATTTTGACTTTTAATGTTGGGAACTATGAACTTCAGAGTTTCCTCACTTGTTTTATGTGATGTAGGTAGAGAGGCACATGTACACCTAAGTGTATCTTACCCAGCAGGACAACACTTCTGACAAGTAGGGGACTAATTGCCAATTTCTGCACTCTCCCTCCCCAGTATGGTTTTCTCCAAAGCATCCCAAATTCTCTCCATCCTCAACTGGCATCTACTCCTTGCAAAGGCTAAAAAATAGCCTTTTTATAGGAAAGCCTCTCTATCATAGTTAGAACTAAGGCAGCTCCTCATCATCCCAGGTTTGTGCATCCCTTCCCAATCCCAACCAGAGCAGAGAACAAGACCCATTACAGTCTCCAGCTTAAGTCCAGTGACAGGCATTTGTCAGAAAATAAAAAAGCTTCCTGCATGGGCTAAATGTTAATTATTAAATATTCTAGCACCCCTACACTAATGTTTACATGTGTAAGAGATGATCCCCTGTGCAAAGGAAACCCTGTGAGAAAGTTAAGGACATTTATCAGAATCCTTCTCTTTTCCCTGAAGAAAGGTAAGCCAGAATCCAGACTAAGAAATAATTTTCTGGAACAAATATTACAAACGGATACTGGCAACAAACAAATCTTGTTTGAAGCTCAATTGATACTGGCATAGACAGCTGAATCTTAGCACTAATGTCAGCACATATAGAGAGGGGGAAGTTGGAGTGAAGCCCATGCTTGGTAAAGCCCTCCAGACCTTTTGTTTTGTTTCACTGGGTTTTGTTTGCTCTTAAGCCCAGATTGTGTGGAGCCAGCTTTTCAACCCAATGTTTCAGGAAGGATTTTGACTGGAAGGTGGGGTGACTCTTTCAATTGATCAAATTACATGTATTAATAATGAATAACTTGAAAGTGGAAAGTAAGAGCACAGAGCCAATGCACTCGAATTGTTGTAGAATGAACAAACACATTCAACAAACATTTTCATTAAGAATCATTACCAAGTTCTAGTTGTTCATCTTCATGGTGTGCAGGAAATTCTTTAAGTCTCTCATCTTCTGAGAATGTTTGACTGTGGAGGGAACATGAGTCTTCATCGGACTGACTGCCCCTTCGACTGATAACACGGTAGATTCCAGAGTCTAAGACACTGAAGCTTTCCTGTAGACCAAGGAGGGGAGTTAGACATCATGTGAGCTGCACGTCCTTGTTCAACATTCTGCACTGAACTCAACCAACTGTACCCACACAAATAGCATTTGTAATTCAGACCATTTCATAATTCACTGCCTGGAAAACTCCTATTTAACAGAGTACTTCTACCATATCCAGAACGGAAAAGGACACAGATGCCAGAAAGTGTGCAGTTCAGTGATTTTAAAAAGATGTGTATGCTGCAATTGCAGGAAAGGAGGCTATGGAACAACTGGTGTACCCAGTGCAAGGCAAAACCCACCTGAGCTTTACAAACCCTTTGTAGCTGCATACCCAAGAATCTGTCTTGCTGCTGGTCAGCCATACCAGCTAGCACAATTACAGACCCCACAAAACTATTTAGTTTCAGGACCAACATACATTTTTTTTGCCCAGGATCAGTCTACATGGTTTACTTTCACTGTGGCTAATGAAGAAAAACTTGTCTAACTCATCAATATGGTATTTACATTACCTGGCTTTTTAAACTTTCCTTTTAAACACTGTTAAAGTGAAAGCAGGAGCTGATAGTGTATGAACTATGAAATATTTTCCCTTTCTTGAAAAGCAGCTGTATATTTATTAGAAATATGCTTTGATTTTTTTTTAGAGCTTTCTCCTTAAGGTTCTTAAAGTGCAACAATTTTCTAAATAGGGCTAAGATATGTCTGAGCACTCAGACATTCATTTTAATCATATAAAACTAGAGTTATAACCAAGACTGTCTTTACCAAAGCATATTAAAACATTAAACAGAGCTATGCAAAACGCCATCTTCATATCAATCTTTGTCCACATCTCAGCCATTAGCCATAAAATAATATGGGAAAGAGGCAGAGGTCTGAGCTTACAGAATGCAAGTAGTGGTGATTCACACCTCTTCACCCCACCTAGTTTTAGAATGCAGCATTATGGGCTGTAGTAGACAGGGTACATGAAATGAAAGCCTCATCTTCCAAGTGAGCAATGAGGTGACTTCAAGCCATAAAGATAAAACTGGTAGATAACATTTTTGGCACTACCAATACACATACATACATGAGATGAAATACTGCTCCTTCTACTGCTGCATGCAGAATCTAGAGGTTCCAACTTTGCAATCAGCTCTTCCAGTTGCACAATGAGGTCTTGCTGGGTTGAAGGATCCAGCTGAGACTTCAAGTGCTCCAGCTTGTCTACAGGCAAATTTTTTCTTGCCTAAAAGCACCCAGTGAAACAGAAGCATTATTATTTCTAATTCGTATGTGAAAACAAAAGAAACCATACATGCAGGATGATTTTCATTCTTAAAATACAATATTTTGATGACTTTAAAAACTCCAACAAAATGAATCTCAATAACCATGAAACTTAATGCAAGGGGAGACAGGAAAGACAGTGAAGTTGTACTGCATGCTTACAAAGAGGTATTTACTTACTCTGCAAGAAACAACTGAATTTTGGAAGAGACAGGAGACCCTGGCAGCGAGGGTCCAGAATCCTCTTCTCATCAGACGCTCTACACAGCGGTCGACCAGCAGAAGGGAGAGGTGCACAACTTTGCCATTTGTATGCAGACAGAACAACTCGCTCTTGTGAACTGCAATATCCTGAATATCTGCAAAACCACACACAGAGCAGTACCTGAAGGACTGAAGTCACTAATCAACATGCCTTTCTGTCCTGAAAAGGTGAAAGCATATTCCCACCTGACTGCAAACGAGTGAAAAGCACAAGAGGCATGGGGAAAAGAAATACTGAGGAGTGCTGACCTAGCACCTAATCACCATAAAACAGTGTCAAAACTTTCCAGAGTTGCATTTCTAGAAAACATTCAAAAAATACACTAAATTACAAAAAAAATTTCCTTTTGCTCCGAGATGAACAAATAACATCTGATAAAGATGAGAAGTACATAATGGTTAGCTTTGAAACAGAAGGAAAATATTCACTAAAAAAAAAACAACCTTGGCGTTCCAGGAGTTTTCAAATACCACACATATGCTGTATGCAAACACTCCACAACAAAGGTACTGCAAACAACACCAAAATGTAGGACTCTGCTTATAACCAAACACACCACTGTTTATGAGGCTTCACTCATTTATTCCCTGTATGCAATTTAGACAGGTTTTAGGGAAAAAACACCCCAGGTTTTAAACTTTCAGCAGCCAGATTATCCTTCATAGGACACTGACAATGAGCCCAAGTAAAGAGAAAAGGATGCTGCAGGTTAATCACCTGTATTTTAACTACTGTATTTTTTTGAGTCACTCTACACCATGTTTTGTGTCTCCAGAAGCATGTTTTCAGGTCTGTGGGAGGAGGGGCTGGCTGGAAGAGGCACAGAGATGGTTAATATTCAGATAACAAGTTTTTTATAAATATTCTGCAATCCAGCTGCAGATATTTGAATAGCTTCCATGTTAGGCAAGGACTTCAGGAATGACCAGTGTAACAGACAATGTTACAAAGCAACATTTAAGAATCTTGAGTTTACCTTTAACTTCACTCCAGAGTAACACTTGAAGGCTTTGGGGAAGAAAAATATAAATGCCTCTTTCTGTCCAGGTCACCACACAGTGCTCACTGCAATTAAAGCACATGTTAATGAAGCAACTGCCAACTGTGGTAAAAGAGATAAAATTTTAAAAAATTGTAAAATATGCAGGGATCACACTGGCTTAAGCATAGCAAGCGAGATGTGAGACAGGTTTAGCATGATACTTGGGAAATTCTTATGCAAAAACCTGAAGTTGGTAATACAAATTGGGAGAACATTTAATTTTTTAAGCCTGCTTTATCAACAGGAAGCTATGCTGTCAATACTCACGTCAAATACAGCAGCTTGGGGAAAGATAAAGATTGTGGTGAGCAGCTGGAACCAGTGTAATGAGGATCCTGCCTGCAAAATAAAATTATTATCAAGTACAAGCCACATAACTACAATAACATTACTTTCTAAAATTCTTAATCCTGTAAATACATGGCTGTCTTAAATAAATATAGTCTCATGACAGCAGCATTTATTGTGCTCACAGACATAGCTGCAGAATCAAGGTTTTGGCATTTTTGATAATTACTGGCTACACCTCTTAGAGGAGACTGTGTTAAGATGACAACTAGTACTAACATTTGACTGAAGCAGGAGTTGATTTAGTCTTTTCAGTCTTAAGGACATCCCAAACCAGCTTAACACTGGTAACACTCATGTTTCTACCTGAGAGTAACAACAGGAAGAGGTGGTGACGAGAGCAGCTGCTTGAACTGATGTGTGCTTTGCACTTCCCCGTCAAAGTTCACCTCCCACATCCTCGAGCCAGGCCGAGCACAGTATATTAATGGCTGCTGATTCCCACTGTTTTTTCCAACAGGGAAGAAACATGATCCAAATTCTCCATCTCTCTCTTTATTACCGATCTTCCAGAACTTCTCTCTGGAGAGAAAAACAAATATACTTGTTAAGTAAGCCAGCATTAATAAAAGCCCTAATTATTTTTATACTTTTCTTGACTAATAAAAAATACTTAATCCTAGCTGCTGAATTGGTTTTGGTGCTTCAAAAATCTGTAATGAATATTACAAAGCCTGCCCAAAGTTTATACAAGACAGGGTGCAGAAATATTCATTAGTTGAAATGAATGCTCAGATCAAAGAGGTTTTTCCCCAGCAGAACCAGTTGTTCAACCTAGTGATGGGAAGGTGGGAACATTCCCAGAAATCATTTCGAATCACATGAAAAATAAGACAGTGATTATGAATAGTCAGCATGAATTTATGGAAGGGAAATCAAGTTAAGAGCCCTCTAGAACAGAATGACTGGCTGAGTAGTTGAGGGGAGAGCAGCAGATGATTATCTTGATTACAGTAAAACCTTTGACACTACCCCTCCCAACATCTTCAGAAACAGACTGAGGGAGCATGGGCTAGTAAAGAGACATTGATGTCATTTCAGAAACTGTGTGTGACTCTGAAGTCCAGTATTTCAGAAATAAAATAGAACTTGCCTCTCTGTATCACATAAATAAGTGCGGGTAAGTGAAGATATGAGCAGTCTTCCATCCAAATAATCAAGCTGAACCACCCGAGAATCTACAGTGGTTATAATCTGGACAGGAAACATCACAAAAGTAGCTGCAGCCTATAGTTAAAAAAGAAAAAAAAAAAAGAAAAACACACTGGTGGTCTTCAGTTCAAAGTAAAGACTGTTTCATTATGTTAAAATAACAAAATTGAGAAAATATTCATGTGTGCTATGAATTCACAACATAAGACAGAGCAGTGCCTTTCCTCTCTGTCTTTACAAAGCAAGGCTACAATGCTCAGAAGCACAGGAGTCTAAATCCTCTTTTCCCCAAAACCACTACTGAAGACTAAAGAAAAAAAAAGTCATACCCCTGTAGCATCCTGATACTTCTTTATAAAGGGGTTTTTTTCTGCAACATTAAGAGAGGCTTTCATTCCTGCTATTCTAAGGTTTGTGCTTTTTTCCAATTCTCCCCACGGGTACATTGAGCTAGCAGTTTTATGGAAACAGACCAGAGGGATTAATTGATACAAAAAACAGCTTCTGCTGGAATTAGATTGGTCACAAACTCACCTTCTCCATTACCCTGCCACAAATTATCCACATACTGTGTATCCTACCAGTGTCTCAGTTTGCATGGGTGGATGAGTAGTCTTAGATAGACTTATGGATAAGGAAACTACTGTGAAGTGCATTCAAATTTGCTGTCAGATAGTCACCATTTTTACCAGTTTAGAGTAGTTGTCCCTTCTTAGGAATATGACAAAGTGCATTATCTGAGAAATCCAAAAGTCCTGTCCCTTTAACAGGCATGAACAGACAGAGATTCCATGGGCTTTGCCCTCTTCTCCTCCCTCTCTTCCCACAGCTGACTTCCCCCCCCCCATTTATTTAAATGTAATAATGGTCTTGCTACTTATAAGTCAATTTTCTGTCAAAATCTCCCATGAGGGCTAGAAAGCACCTGGACGATCACAACTATTTCCACATTCTGCTCCTTTTTACTGATTAAAAAGAAAGGACCCCAGTAGAAGTAAAAGCTGAAGAACACTCAAGGGCTAGACATCAGGCTGCTATCACTAATGGGTGTGTCCTTTGCACAAAATATAAAGCATGTAGGCTCGATGACCATCCACCGTTTATTTTATCCAATCCAGACGTTTAAGAATGACAGCATCCAGAGAAAGCCAAGCAAATCAGAGTCTGGGACTGCTGTTTCTCTGACCAACAGCTGAATTGAGGCTAAAACAAACAGCTGAACCTGTAGCTGGAGTCTAAGGAATACAATAAGCTCAGAAACACCAAGACCCTTAACTTTGATACTTGTAAATTCCAAGAAGTAGGAGACTGACCAGTTTTTAATTCTGAACATTTGAGAGCATTTTCAAGTTGCATTACTAAAATAGATATAATAAGGATGGGGTGTGTTCATGGGTCAGGATTTCTATGGTTGTCTCAAGAGACTGGTTCTTCACCCAATAGTTAAAGCTACCAAAACTTCGTTAGCCAGCAAGTCCTGCTCTGTTCCAAAATAAACAAAGAGATTCCACCCCCTGTGAATTAAGCTCAATCAAAGTATGCAACACTGTACCTTCCCTTGTTTAGATGTGTTAATCTTGATGGCTGATACTTTTCCCACATGATCTCCTACAAAAACTCGAAGGGCAGCTGTATCCCAGCACAGAGCTGTGACTTTCCTGCCCTTATGCTCAGAGGAAACATAAATCCGTTCTGGCTTCCCACGACGTTCCTGATTCAGCTCCCAGACTACTACAAGGCCTTGGCTACAACGAGTTAACAAGAGAATACAGGTTGAAAATAAGTCTGCTAAAGTTTTATCAGTTAATAAAGATGCATTTTCCCAAAGCAAGAGGAGACCCAAGCAAAGCAGCACACCTCAGAGCAGGTTCTGTTTGAGGCTGCATGCTTTCAACAAGTGTCACACTTAATTCTGGAGAAGAATAAGTGTCCTTCTTTGCACTGCAATGTATAAGCAGCTTTGTAAGGCTACTCTTACAGTTATTACACTTGCCAGTGAGGATGTGGAAAAACATTTAAACGGATTTTAATAAATATAAGTGGAATTAACTATCAATCTCACTCTACCATGTTAATGAAAATGCTTCTTTTCATGCTAAAAGGTCTCAAGGTCATTTATCACCATAATTTAACATTCATGAGCTCTGCCATAGATATTCTATTACAGAAACAACATTTAACCTAAAATGACTATTCCAGAAAAAAAAGTTAAGCAAACTGTGCACAGAATTATCCTGTAGTGCCCTCTTCCAGTTAACCTGGTAAGTTAACTCTGAGTTCTCAGCAGCTGTCCACATCTGAAACTTGAAGAGTCTTAAAAATATTAATCCAGTGCTCAGGTTTGTGAGTAGATCACTCACCTGGTGGCAACAGCAACATAGTCTTCATCATGCAAACAACAGGCCACCCGGGAAATGGCACCTTCCTGAAAGCAAGCACAGGAGTAAGAGCAGGTGAAACTTGTTCCTGTACTGCCACTACCACTGTGCAGCCTCCATCTTCAACAGATAAACCAGATTCATGTCAACAGATGCCACCACCCTGCTGTGATGGGGGTGGTTTTTACTGTCTGCTTGGGTTTTGTTTGCAAACACTGAGTTTACTCCAAGATGCAGCTGACAACAGCACAACAACATCAAGAGCAAGGACTGCAGTGCATTCTCTCATTTAGGAATGACAGAAATTACTCTTCTGTCCTCACACTTTTGGAAGTTGTTTTGACAGAATTAAGTGAGGTGCTCCCAGCCTTAAAAAACTGGCTGCATTCATGCTACACTGGAAGCAGCAGTGGCTCCTAGGAAATAGCACCTGGCTGCACAAGTAACAGTCCTTGTTTCACAATCTCTTCCAGCAACAGTAAGTCAGCCTATCTTTCCTTCACTTATCCAGTTATGTCACAGTTTGAGCACTCTAACACTGGGAGTTATCCACTTGTGAGTTGCTCTAGTTTCGTATTCAAAATTTTCTTCCAATCCTTAAATATTCAGGTGACTTCTTTGTTGCTGTTAAAAAGTAAGAATTTGAAAAACAAAGGTCTGACATTCTGAAGTAATATTTTTCACGAAATATTTTTCATGAAATCTAATATACCACATACTCTGGGGATAACCTCCAGAATCACAACCTACTTTAAACACAGCAGTGCAAAACTTCACCTTCTTTGGACAACCCAGTAAGCTGAAGGCACCTGTTGACTCTTAACATTAACTTGAAATACTGTTTCTTTCCTAGTCCCATTTTTGGAAATTTTCATTTAAAATGTTTATCCTTACCTTGTGAGTGAGAAAGAGCCTTTGCTTCCAACCATCCTTCTGGATAAGGTTCAGTCCTCCTCCTGAGCTGCCTAGAGCCAGCCATCTCTTTGACACATCTATACACGTGCACTGAAGGAATAAAAATCGTAATGCATAATCTGGTAAGTTCTGATCACAGCATCTTTTTCCTGCATTATTATGGTGGGTTTTTTAAAGGTTTCATTCTTTGCCAGCTGTGTGTACCACTCCTGAACCCCTGGCAGTAAGGATTATTAAACAGCACTTTGCAATTGGAGCAAACAGTGAAGCTGTGTCAGGCTGTGTCACATACCCACGGCTGCACGAAGGAAACACACACAGAGTAACAGGGTCCATTATCTTCACTCTTTCTTCCCAAAGTACTCCCCCCACTAAGACAGCAGGCACAAACCCCAAAAAGAGTTACATTAATCCTGTGGCTTAATCAAATAATTAGCCAAATGGGGTCATTACTTGAATTTAAAAAAAAATTAAATTAAAAAAGCCATACATCACAAACTCACCTTGAGACGACTGGAATCCAACCTGAGTGCAGAAAGCAATGGATCCAAACATTCCAACTCTGCCAAGACATGGTTGTAAGAGTCTGGGATTACTGGCACAGAGGCCATGGATGCACACGACTAGTGCTGCTCACTCATGGGTGCGTTACAGCTTCAGCTTTTAGCTGCACCTGCCAAAAATAAAGTTATCAATTAGTTCACTTCTTAGTATTTGAGCTGCTGTTCTGTGCTTAAAGAAACACCAAGTGTTTTTGTACTCAAAAGCCATCAGGTTTCAGCTCACCAAAAAGAGGCCCAAGGGCTGGAAAACAAGACTCCTGCTCCATTTATGAGAAATTTTTGTTCATTTCTGAAAACTTAACCTATCACATAATCCACCTGGAAATATTTAAACTCTAGTTATATTTACATCTGCCTGTGAAACGAGTTGACATGTACCTACAGAAAACACCTTGTTTTCTGGAAAAATTCACTTTTCCCTAGAGCATACACCCTTGATTTGAAACTAACTTTCTCAAGGAAAGCATTTAGCATTGGCATTTTATAGCTACATAATATTCTCCCCCAAAAATAAATTTAAGGAGCATTACTCTCAAGTTACACTAAATTTAGAATTAGCTGCATTTGTGCATTTTGATACAATTATAAGCTATCCTCTCCACTTTAAGTCTTTTCCCGCATTCAAGAGATAACACAGAGCGAAAACCAAGAATTAAATAACCACGGAAATCACAACATCATATTTTTCCTAAGCAGCACATATTTTAAAATAACTTCTTATTGAGTTTAAAGCTTAAACCTGTACATTGCTTAACAAAACTCCAAACCTGTTACACCGTACAGGCAAGTCCCGGAATTGCTAAGTAACCTTTAGGATTATTAGCGGTCCCATAAATTAGGGAACTCCCTCCCAGAAAAGCTGTCATAGGGGAAATTTACATTTCCTCTAAAGGAAAGCGAGCGCTCACTCTCACCAGGCACTAGGAAAAGGGAAGAGACACATTTAGCCAACGAAACTAAAAGTTTTTCTTCTAAATTCTCAAAAAATCTTAAAAACCTTAGTGGCCACTTCTGTCCTGCCCGCTCTCTGCCACATCCCGCCCGTGTGGGGCTGAGCCGCGACACCGCGGGATTCGCCTCCCGTACCCGGAGCACGGCGAAGGATCGGAAGGGACAGAGGAACCCCGCGACCCCTTCGCAAACCGCGGGGAGAGGACGAGAGCCGAGCCCTGCCGGGGCACAGGAAGCGCCGCTCGCTCCTTCTCCCTGCCGCCGCCGCTCCCTTACCGCGCCCCGCGCGCTCCCGGTGCCGCTCCCGGTGCCGCTCCCTCACGGCGCCCCGCGCGCTCCCGGTGCCGCTCCCGGTGCCGCTCCCTCACGGCGCCCCGCGCGCTCCCGGTGCCGCTCACGCCGCCGCCTCCAAACAGCGCGCCCACGTGACCCGCGGGAGGGCGGGGCGGTGGCGCGCGCTCGCTCAGCGCTGCATCACGCGCCGCCCGCGCGGGAGGAGGAGGAGGAAGCGGCGTCACGCGCGCGCACCCGCCCGCCGGCCACGTGACGCCGTGACGCGCAAAATAAAGTTATCAATTAGTTCACTTGTTAGTATTTGAGCTGCTGTTCTGTGCTTAAAGAAACACCAAGTGTTTTTGTACTCAAAAGCCATCAGGTTTCAGCTCACCAAAAAGAGGCCCAAGGGCTGGAAAACAAGACTCCTGCTCCATTTATGAGAAATTTTTGTTCATTTCTGAAAATTTAACCTATCAGATAATCCACCTGGAAATATTTAAACTCTAGTTATATTTACATCTGCCTGTGAAACGAGTTAACATGTACCTAGAGAAAACACCTTGTTTTCTGGAAAAATTCACTTTTCCCTAGAGCATACACCCTTGATTTGAAACTAACTTTCTCAAGGAAAGCATTTAGCATTGGCATTTTATAGCTACATAATATTCTCCCCCAAAAATAAATTTAAGGAGCATTACTCTCAAGTTACACTAAATTTAGAATTAGCTGCATTTGTGCATTTTGATACAATTATAAGCTATCCTCTCCACTTTAAGTCTTTTCCCGCATTCAAGAGATAACACAGAGCGAAAACCAAGAATTAAATAACCACGGAAATCACAACATCATATTTTTCCTAAGCAGCACATATTTTAAAATAACTTCTTATTGAGTTTAAAGCTTAAACCTGTACATTGCTTAACAAAACTCCAAACCTGTTACACCGTACAGGCAAGTCCCGGAATTGCTAAGTAACCTTTAGGATTATTAGCGGTCCCATAAATTAGGGAACTCCCTCCCAGAAAAGCTGTCATAGGGGAAATTTACATTTCCTCTAAAGGAAAGCGAGCGCTCACTCTCACCAGGCACTAGGAAAAGGGAAGAGACACATTTAGCCAACGAAACTAAAAGTTTTTCTTCTAAATTCTCAAAAAATCTTAAAAACCTTAGTGGCCACTTCTGTCCTGCCCGCTCTCTGCCACATCCCGCCCGTGTGGGGCTGAGCCGCGACACCGCGGGATTCGCCTCCCGTACCCGGAGCACGGCGAAGGATCGGAAGGGACAGAGGAACCCCGCGACCCCTTCGCAAACCGCGGGGAGAGGACGAGAGCCGAGCCCCGCCGGGGCACAGGAAGCGCCGCTCGCTCCTTCTCCCTGCCGCCGCCCCTGCCACCGCTCCCTTACCGCGCCCCGCGCTCCCGGTGCCGCTCCCGGTGCCGCTCCCTCACGGCGCCCCGCGCGCTCCCGGTGCCGCTCACGCCGCCGCCTCCAAACAGCGCGCCCACGTGACCCGCGGGAGGGCGGGGCGGTGGCGCGCGCTCGCTCAGCGCTGCATCACGCGCCGCCCGCGCGGGAGGAGGAGGAGGAAGCGGCGTCACGCGCGCGCACCCGCCCGCCGGCCACGTGACGCCGTGACGCGCGCGGCGCCCGGCGCGGGGCGCGGGGCAACGGCGGCGTCGGTCAGGCCGCGGGGCCCGATCCGCCTCACGGCCGCGCCGCCCCGGCGATCCGTCCCCGGGGGCGGCGGGAGCGCGTCGCGTTGGTGCCGCGGCGGCCTTTGGCCTCCCGCGCTTCCTTCCTGCCCGGCGGGCGTGTGACGGTGGCCGGGCCGGAGCCGCGGTGAGGGAAGGGACGAGAGGGGCGGCGGCAGCGCCGATCTGCGCTCCCCGGGGGGCGGCGGGGACACGGCAGCGCTGCCGGGGGCACCGGGCTGCGCCCCGGCGCTTGGCCCGGCGCGGGCGGCAGACAAAGAGGAGCCGTGGCAGCGCCGTCCCCGCCGGGACCCTGCGGGTGTCCTCGGGCCCGTGTGGTGGCACGGTGACATCCCTCCCGCAGCGTGGGTGATGCGGATCGGGGCAAGGCCGGGCTGGCCCCTCAGGACCGTGCATCCCTCCCGGTGCAGCTGCCGCTGCCGCATGCCGCTGACAGATCGCTGCCACCCCGCGGGGCGCTGCTCGGCCCGCTCCAGGAGCTGGCAGCGTCCCTGTGCCGCTGCGGGTCAGACTGGGCCATTGGCACGGATATTCCATGATTCTGCCGCTGCCTGCGGGGAGCGGAAGGCCAGCAGCAGAAAGGGCTGCATTGATCTGTCAGAGCTTGCCTGCCAGCCCGTGCCCACCCTGGCCAAGTCAGGATTATTAAAACCTGCAAACGTTTCCTTTATTTCTGCTCAGAACTCGACATAACCATATGGAAAGAGACTGAAGTGCTGGTAACGGAGAGTGTTCAGAACAGGTGTTGTAAAAAACAGAAATGAGAGGTACTGTATCTTGAGATAAGAATGGTTAGGAAGATTCCCTGCAATGGAGGAAAGATAGCTGTTGGAATTTGATGGTATTTCCAGAAGCTGTTTGCTCCCACAGGGCTGGGAGGGGAGGGCTTGTAGGTGGATAAGCACACAGAGCATTTCTTTTGGTCAATGCCAACACTGAAGCTTCCTGATAGACCTTGCCTATTGTAAACTGCAGCTGAAATTAACATCCCCAAGACAGGCCTGATGACACGTTGTACCTCATTGTTAAGGCTTCGGGTTGATCCAAGTGCTTTTAGAGCTGTTGACCAAGCTCTGTTGCTGGGGAATTTAAAATGAATTGTCTGACCTTCCTATTCTGCAAGGTACTTGAACCAGCTGCTGAAGAACACTAATGCTGTAGCAGGTTAAAATTATCACTTAAAGCCACAAAATAGCAGCATTTTTCTGTGTGCATGTGGCAGTTCTTGCCCTGCACAGCAGCAGTGTCATCATCCATAGTACAGATTCCTGGGAAATTTGGATGTTAAATGTAGAGGTTATGAGATTTGGGCAGGCACAAGTACATCATTGATGGCTCTCTGCTGCATAGTAAGTCTTACATGCCCAAAAAAAAAAAAAAAAAAAAAAAGCTGAGCTGTGTACTGTGTGTGCTTTGCTTAGCAAGGATGTAACCTTCCCTGTAGGAGACAGGGAATGAAATCTTGAAGCAAGATTCCTATTTTAGAATTTTTCCTGTACTTCTTGTAACACGGAGCCATTTTGTTTCCATTAGTGACAGACTGTAACCTTCCTAAATCCCTATTATTAATAGGTTTTTTTATTCTTTCTGATGTACTGTTCAAAAGACAGCTCAGGGTTTTCTCCATTTTGGGTAATGCTTACTGTGCTTGTGAGTTGTATCATCCCACTGCCACTGTAAATTACTGCAGGAAAAAGGAAGTACAGCAGTGACAGAAAGAAGAACAGCATGAGCCATGTGCTCACCCTCCCAGAAGGAGGAATGAGCCACTTGCGGGATAATTGTGCTCTCACAGATTGCACACTGCAGGGTACTAGAAGGGATCTAAAGGAGAAGTTGGTAGCTGCTGATTCTTTGCTTCTGTAGTTGAAAGACTGGGTGTAGGTAGGTGAAATGGTGTGGTGGAAGAGCAGAGCAGCTGGCATCAGAATGAGCCTGACTGTGGAAATGCTTTCCTTTTTCTTGCTGTTCTGTACAGGTTGAATTCCTTTGTGTTCTGTGGCTTTGCCTCCATTGCATTGGATAATAATGACCTTAAAGGACTATAAAGTAACAAAGGGAGAAAAACATCAAATCCCTAGTTTTGCACATGGGAAAACATGGTGGGATTTCCAGTCTCTGAGAGTCTGTGGCCAGTGCCTTTTTCCAGTAAGGATAGGTGCCTGTGAGACTGCAGACCCACAACAGGAAACTACATAAAATGGTTGTGTGAATAGCACTGAAAGGGAATAGTGCTGCTGGGAGACTGTAATGGATTATGCTAGGGAACAGTCCTGAAATCATGCCATGCAGTTTTCTTTGAGGAAGAAGTATTACCAAGGATGCTGTGAATGTGGCACAGCGTGTTCTAGTGACTGCTGCAGTGGTGCTGATGTGAAACCCCACATTCAGCTCAGCATGACTGAACTTTAGCAAAGCCTTGGATGGCTGGAATGGTGAAGGAGCAAAGTGTAAGGGCAGAGCCCTTTTGCCATTTCATCTTTCCATCTAGTGTGTTACTTAACTCATTGCACAGGAGCTTGTAAGACTTCTGTTGAAGAGAATGCTGTGCTGCTGTCCAAATTGTCAGAATAAAATGTCTTATGTTGCTGCTGGTTGGTGTTTTGTTGGTTTTTTTTGGGTTTTTTTAAGAAAAAAAGAAGTATGTGAATTTAAATGCTTAGAACTACCATTTTGTGATACCTACTGGTAGTGTGATAGCAGATGCAGGTTACAATCTGAACTTCAGCATGCATCCCAGCAAATATTAGGCATTCTGAAGCACATGCAACATCCATATTAGCATTGGAAAAATATTATTTTGCATATCAATAGTAAAGTTTATGATACACAAAATACAGCAACTGGACATACTAAAATTTTTCATCAAATATGTACATTTTTGATAAGTGTACCAACAGTAAGCGTGACAGAGTGTAGTAATACTTGCCATATTCTTTATCTCTTGAAAAATTTAAGGCTGTAGGGTGAACCTGGAGAGAGGAATGATAGTGACTGCTGGGGAGAACAATGCAGCAAGTACCCAAAGTCTTGTTGGTTTGAGACTGCTGACAGAATTTTCATTGTGCTGTAGTACATAAAGAGTTAGTTCCTCAGACTCTGGAGGAGAGGGACTGGCCAGCTGCAGTCAGGTGTACAAAACACTGTTTAAGCCTTGGGCAAAACCCACCACAATAAGAACACCTGAGTCTTTAGCCACCTTATCTTTAGCACAGTGAACTGAAAATCCATGATTTTTCACATACCTTGTATCCTCCCCTTTTCTGAAATGACTTAGCATCTGCCATTCCCACTGAAGAAGGGAATTGCTGCCAGTACCAGGAAAGACTTGGAATTTGTCATTGCTTAGCTTCAATATTCTTTTGAACTAGAAAAACCAGTAAAAGGACAGTAAACCAGGAAAATTTAGTTATCAGTTTAAATGTAAAATTTGTGGGTCTTTTAGTGGAGCAAAAGCAGTATCAGCAATATAATTAGATGAATTTTTTAGGTAGGTGAGAGTATTTTGTTTAAATAAATTTGC